GAAGAGATTGAGATAGTTAAAAGTTTTAGTTTACTTGGCTCCACAATCAACACTCCTGGTAACAGCAACCAGGAAATCAGGAGAAGAATCACAGTGGGAAAGTCAGCTGTGAGGGACCTCTCAAGATCAATGATGTCAGGCTGGAGACTAAGGTGCGCCTGATCCGGGCTATAGTCTTCGCAACTACATGCTATGCATCGGAGAGTTGGACAGTGAATAGGGATGACAGAAAGAGAATTGATGCCTTTGAGCTGTGGTGCTGGAGAAGAGTGTTGAATATACCATGGACTGCTAGGAGAACAAAAAGGTTTGTCCTGGAGAGGGTGAAGCTAGAATGTTCCCTGGAGTCAAGGATTCTGAAGCTTCGTCTGACCTACTTTGGGCATGTTGCAAAGAGGGACTGGTCGTTGGAGAGGGACATCATGTTTGGGAGAGTTGAGGGACAGCGCAGGAGAGGAAGACCCTCAATGAGATGGATCAATTCTATGAGCGGAGTGGTGGAAATTAATGTGTTTGAGACAGCGAGGTTGGCACAGGATAGAATGGCGTTTAGGGCTCTTGTACATAGGGTCACTATGAGTCGCAAATGACTAGATGGCACATAACAACAACAACATGACTCCTGCATTATCTTCAAAATAAACAACACCTCATCTCTTCTCTAGTATGACTTTTGTTGTCATATTACCACTGCTAGATGTACATTCTGAGCTCTGGTTTCTCTTTCTTAACAGTGGCCCTCACCATGTCACCCACACCAGCATCAGGAAGTCTGTTAAGTTGTCGTTTGATTCCCTTTATAGAGATGATATCTAGATTTTTTTGGCCAGGGAAATCTGAAATTTTGCACCAGAGGACCCACATCTTTGCCTCTACATTTTGGATGCCGGGAAAGAACAAAAAGCTATGGGGTATTATTTTCCAGTTCACATGTGAGGTTCTGTCTCTGTAGTCCCTCTTTTTGAAATTCGGTTATGCCCAAAGTACAGCCTCAAAGTGACTCCTTATGGAGTCAGATCCGACTCACAGCTAATTTACAGCAGCTTTTCAGAAGTGTAAACTGCACGAGAGGAAACTGCTCATCTTCCTCCTTAGTACCTAGTATTATGCCTCTGGTGATATAGTCCATAGTGGGTTGCACTGCTAATGAAAAGGTCACGTCTCTGGCAGATTGAATCCACCAGTAGCTCTCAAGGAGGAAGACAGACAGTCTTCTCCCTTTAAGAGCTGCAGCCTCAGAAACTCGATGGAGGATTGGTATGAATTGGAACCAGCTCCATGGCAGTCAGGGAGTGTAATACTGTAACTAAGACGCCAAACGGGGTACTACATGTCCCTAGTAATAACTGCTTACATAAAGGTCAAAAGGTAGCTTTGACTAGTGAATTTAACATGTGAACATTAAGAGAGTACAGAGGAACTAACTTGTGTCCCCTTTCATATTCAGTCCCACACCGTCACATGAGCCCAGAGTACTTTCTTAGTGACCCAGGCTGTAAGATAAACCACCCTTGCTGTCTTTGAGTCTAGTTCAACTCACAGCAACCCAACCCTGCTGGACAGAATACAACTGCTCCATTGGTTTTCCCCATCAGAAGCTGTTAAATATTCTCCCAAGAAAGGGCTACTAGGTCCCAAGTGCTGACCTTTCAGTTAGTGGTCAAGTACTTCACCACTACACCACTTGTGCTCTTTCTGCTCTGTGTAATAAGGTTTATTGCTGAAGATTTAAATAATGTTTAACTATGTAGGCAATCATACAGTCTACTTATAGCTTAAGAAAAGGCTGGTGATTTAAAGAAAACATGACAGACTGATACCAATGTAATCCCCAACAGCCATTCATTTTTGTTCTCTTTTTACACAAACCACTGTGTGGTTAGCCTTCGATACCCAAAGAAATGCCACTTTTCCATGAAATATAATAAACTCAGTGCAATTATAGTTTCTTTTATCTGAAAGCACAGAGTTCCTGCTTTCCTTCCATCTTGTCCTTCTCTGACTCTTACAGTACTACTTTTAATGTATGTAGAGATGGTTTAGTAACACTACAGGGAGCTCTGGTGGCTTAATGGTAAAGAGTTGTGCTGCTAACTTGAAGTTACATGGTTCGAATCTACCAGCCACTTTTTCACAGAAAGATGGGCAATCTCCTCTCATGTGATTCACTGCCTCTGAAAACACACCTATGAGTCAACTTTCAACTCGCTGGTACACAACAACAAACTGCAGACACTTTTGTGTAATTTAACCTCAGTGAGGATCTGTGAGCTAGCAGACAGTGGTTATTGTTGCTAAGTACCCTGAGTAGGAATTGACCCATATGTGAGCCCTCAGCATGAGTTTTCAGAAGCAGTAAACCTCATGGGAGGAGACTGTGCGTCATTCTCCTGCAGAAGAGCTGGTAGATTCAAAGTATGTGCCACTGGGTTGCCGGTGCAGCGTCTTACTGCTAGGCCACCAGAGCACCCTTTAAAAGAACACTGGCGTGCATTAATAATTTAGAAGACAGGATTTAGAAATTCAGCATAGAAATGGTACTTTAAGGAACACGGACAGATTAAAGCCCTGGTGGCAAAGTGGTTAATGAACTCAAGTTGCTAACCGAAAGGTTGGTGGTCTGAATCCACCAGTTGCTCCAAGGGAGACAGAGGTGACAAACCCCACAGGGGATCCCTCCTCTATTTTATAGTGTTACTACGAGTTAGGGCCAACTCGCAATGAGCAGGTAATTGTGGGTCTGTGTGTCATGCGATCATTTTCACCTAGCACAAAAAGAACTCGTTTGTGGATAAATAAGAAGACAAACAAAAAGCTGACCTCTTTGGTCAATACAGCTTTACAACCCCTAACCACAGCCTCTAACAGTGATGCCATAGACCTCATCTTCCTTCCTACACTGCAGAAAACAAGAGGTTCTTCTTTTTCACCTCTGAATTTTATTGGATAGACAAAGAATAAATTAGCCTCTTAAGTCATAATATTCTTGTACATACTGTGGTTTAATGTGGTTAGTAGTCTAAAAGGGTTGCTCACAGCTTTCTAGGAAGTCTCTAATATATTTACAATCCTAAGAATCAGAGAATGACAATGCTAGGAAAAAAGTCTTACTTTTTCCATTTTATAGGTAAAGAAATGGGTACTTTTTTAAATGCACCTACAGTCATCACTGATATAAGCTTTCAAACTTAAACCTCAAAGAGGGGAAGTAGAAACAGATCCTTTAAATCGACATCATTCCTCTAGAAGAAGATGCAAACTCATAGTGAAGCACTATAGTCTCCAATTATAGTCACAAATGGAACCGCCTGATATTTCTTGGCAGCTAACGACCTTTAAGGAGAAAAAGAGAGTTTTCCTAACGCATATAAAGGCTCACTGAGGGGTTTCGTCCTTTCCTCACAAATCATCTACTGATGAGTCAACAGACTTTTGAAGGTACTTAAAGTATTACAGAATTTTTTTTTAAAAAAAACCACATACAATTTTAAAAACCACCGCACTTACCTCCTTTAGCTTCTCTACATCATCTTTCACTTTTTCATAGATTTCATTAGCTGTTTTCAGTTTTTTCTTCCACTCTGCCACAGTTTCTGAGTCAAAGTCAACTTTACTTGGATTGTCTGCTATCGGCTGCCTTTCTTCATTATGGTTACCCTGCATTAAGGTTAAAGGATCCAGAATAGTCTTGATCTGTGATTCCAAGCCGAGATTTTTACTCTTAAGCTCTTCTATTTCTTTCTGCAGACAATCTATTTCATCCTGAAAAAGGATTGCTTAACATTAGATATGAAACACATATGTACGCTAACCTAGTCAATGTGTTTTTTTCATTTTATATTAAAAATTTTGCAAATTTACAAATAATATTTATATACCCAGGAAGACACATATAGGTGACATTTTCAAAATACACCCCAATTCTAACAATTTTTTTAAAATGGCATTCCTGCTGTTTCAAGTGCAAGTCAATAAATAGTTTATGGTTTAAAAAAAGAAATATTGTCAAATCTTTAGTTATATTTAAAAAAATCATAAAGAAAACAGAAACTCCAGATGCTTTTTAATTCCAACAAGCTTCTGCTTCAGAAGAAGATTTCAAGGCACATTTCATTACCTTTCTGAAGAGAATGAAAACAGTGTAGATAGAAGTGACCTTTGAAGAGTTTTATTTCAGGTTTTTATTTTTGCTTCTGTACTTGTAACAATCCACATCTCACTGGTGTGGACTCAGAACCAACTCCCAGGTGACACTCCACTGGGTTTCTGAAGTCACTGAACTGCACCAGAGGAGACTGCCCAACCCTGCCCCTGAGGAGCTGCTGGCAGATTCAAATCGCTGGAGATGCCACCATTCCCAACAGAACAGGCCACTAGTCACTAGAAATCATATTACATTTCCTTTCATTTTTTAAATCCAAATACTACTTGCAGTTAGTTTAATTTTTAAATTTTGGATTCGTGTTCTTCGATGGCCATCATGACTGCTCTGTTGTTGTGTACTGTCGAGTGGGAAACGACTCACAGCTAATGCCCCAGTCGGCTTACAGAGGCAGCAAATCACACAGGAGGAGATTGCCCATCCTTTTCTTGTGGAGCAGCTAACAGACCCGAACCTTGTGCCTTTCGGACTGCTGCACAGCACTAGGCCACCAGAGTACCCTTTGACTACTTTAAGTATTAAAAGTTCCTCCTGGAACTATTTATTATTTTAAATTCAATCATTCGATATTTGTGCTAAAGCCTTTTTCTAGAATACACTTATCTATCTATAATGGATAGTTCACTAAGATAGTTAAAAAGGAAACTCCAATGTGCCCAAGTAGTAGCCCTATGGCACAGTTGTTAGAGTATCTGGCTGCTAACCAAATGGTCAATGGTCTGAATTCACCAGCTGTTCCGCAGGAGGAAGAGGTTATACTTTATTTCTGTAAAGGTAACAGTACTAGAAACCCTAGAGATAGTTCCATTCTGTTCTAGAATCGCTGTGAGTTGGGTCTAGCACTTAAGGTACTTAATTTGTCAATGGTTTCTCAAGGAACTTGATTAGGATTTAAGTACAATCAACAGTTCTTTAATGTATAGAAGGATTTACTGTAGAATTGACAAAGCTCCTATTAGGAGTTTAAACTATATATACTTCAAGTATATATGAGACAAATACTTTAATATATTAAAAAATACACAAAAATAAGGACTATACATATACAAATGATAATGTACTAAAACATTAAAAAATTATTTCAGAGAGCTGAAGCCATTGCCACATATACAGCTTAAGTGTAATTTCTATTCAAAAAGAGGTCAGTAATAATCCCTCTTTAGTCAATATAAAATGATAATAGGGCTTAAATTTTACTATTTCAAAGCTTATTTATTATTTGTGAAAATTCCATCATTGTATCATATTTGCCTGCTCATTCACCCCTAGGTAAGAATTAAGAAACAGCATATCCACTCTAGAAGTTCTTTACTACTAGTTATCATGTATTTACCAGAGTTGATCAGACATACAATTCTCAGAGAATTTATAGTCTGAAATAAAAAACAAACGAAGGCTTACAATCATTTCACTAGAGCACTCACGATACCTTGTGGGAATCAAAAGATCAACTTTAACAAGGTTTCCTTTATCTCTCAAGTTCTCCACCATATATAGTTTCCACCTATCTATAGAGTTCAAGTTCTGAAAGTGCAAACACTTCCAAAATGATATACTGAGGTACGACCAAAATGGATGTCAGAAGAAACTCTGAAGATTGCACTGGAACGTAGAGAAGCCAAAGCACAAGGAAGAATCCAAGACACTAAAGAGCTGAACAGAAGATTCCA